ACACAGGGCCTGACGCCGCGTTTCCCTCCCCAGGACTGCTCCCCCGGCAGGGCCGGCTCCCTGTGGCTCTGGGGGTAATTGGAGGGTAGAAGGCTATTTGTTTCTGTGCTGACAAAGCTGGGTCTTTTCCTAGGGAGGGGGCAGGATGGGAACTGTCGCTGAGCACTCCCCAGGGTCCCACAGGCCACTGGCAAAGACAATGGCCTGCAGCACCTGGCACCCCCACAAGGAGTGTTTGCTTTGCTTCCTGGAGTGGGGCCTTGTTTGTTCCCGCAGCCCAGCTGGAGCAGGCAGCCTCCTTGCACACCTGCAGGACCAAGGGTCCAGCTCAGGCTCACACGCCAGGGCCCTTGCTGGCAGGCCGTGCCCGGGTCTCCCTGCAGGTGCTTCCTCGGGCTCCCGCTCGGACACGGCCCAGTCCTCAGCACCCAGCACAGATATGGGGCAGCGGTGGCTCCATGAACCCCAAACTGCATGTCAGGCTGGGGGTGGCCAGTGGGGCAGGGGACATGGGGGAGGTGCTGCCAGAGCCCATGAGAGGACCCCAGGGAAGGGCTCATACCCCACCCCTGGGCCTGTTGGCAGCGTGGGAAGGGGCAGAGGTGGGGGTGTGGAACACACAGTGGCAAAGTCAGGACTAACTTTGGTTTTTCTAACCCAGAGACTAGTTTGCGGATGGCCCGGGTTCCAGATGTTCTTTCAAAAGCTCGCAGTCTGGGGAGTCCGCGGGACGGCTACTCTTCAAAGTCAGCCTGGCCCTCCTTGGCGCTGTGTGGGGGCCTGGCTCCCTGCTTTGGGAAGTTGCACAACCCTGGCCAGTGCCCTGCAGCCCCATCTGCCGCTGCTCAGCCCTCCTCTGTGCCCCAGCCCCCGCCTCCTGGAAGCAGCTGAGAAGGCATGAGTGTGGGACAGGACGCCACTGGGCCCAGCCCCGACCCCACCATGTGTGAGCCACAGAAACGGTTTGGTTTTACATTGAGAGAACCAGGCTCAAGCCACAGGCCCAGGGCCTCAGCAGGGAGGGCAGTGCATACCTGGCAGACGCATGGACACGAGGGCCCGTGCACTGAGCCATGCCTAGACACGCTACCCCCAGCCAGTGCCTCTGTCCCTGTGGTCCAGTCTCGCTCCAGCTCTGCCAGCGCTGGTCAGTCCCAGCCAGTGCATTTACTGGGCGCTCATGTGCTGTGGTGAGCAACACACGGAGGGGGTCCCAGTGCCAGGCCTGAAGAACAGCCAGCACCTTGGGGTCTGGACGGGCACCCAGCTCTCCCTCTAGTCTGTCTCAGCAGCCGTGTGTCTCTGTACCTGCCCCCACTCAGCCCAAATGAAGTTTGTCCCCGAAGCCAGAAGCCTACCCTGCCCCACAAAAGACCTATGTCCACACCCAGAAGCTGTGAGTGGCACCTGATGTAGAAAAAGGGTCTTGGCAGGTGTGGCCCTGAACCCAAGGGCAACACGCTCCTGAGAGGAGGCGGAGACGGCGGCGACACAGCCTCCTCTGCTGACACCTGGGCCACCAGAAGCTGCAAGAAGCAGGAAGGGGCCCTCCTGTGGGCCCTGGAGGGAGCATGACCCCAGATACCTTGATTTCAGGCCAGTGACACTGATTTTGGACTCTGGCTTCTGGAATCGTGAGGAAAGAAACATCTACTGTTCTAAGCCAACTAGTTTGTGGTGATTTTTTACAGCAGCCTTAGGATACAGATAGTTTTTTTTTTAATCATGAACAATCTATCATTGTTTTTTTTGTTTTTAATTTTTATTGATCTCAGAGAGGAAGGGAGAGGGAGAGAGAGAAAGAAACATCAATGATAAGAGAGAATCATTGATCAGCTGCCTCCTGCACACCCCACACCTGGGCATGTGCCCTGACCAGGAATTGAACCCTGACCTCCTGGTTCATAGGTCGACGCTCAACCACTGAGTCATACTAGTCAGGCCAGATGGCTTCTATGGTGAGGGGACAGGGCCCGGGTCCCCCACACCCACAATACTGGCCCATCATCCAGGGGTTGGCATGTCTGAGGCCTCAAGAGAAAGGTCAGAGGGTGGAAGGGGGTGGGTGAGGGCGCTGCAAGAGCAAGATCATGGGATCTCTGTGTTCTGCTGGCTCAGACCAGAGGCCTCCAACGCCCGCCCCCCGGGCATTCAATTTGCCAGGACAGACTAGACCAGGAGGGCCTCAGAGAGGGGAGCTTGCTGGGCAGGGGGAGGGGAGAGGGAGGGGGAGGCAGGAGCCTGGACTGTGTTGCACACGCACTTCTATGTACACACTCAAAGGTAACCCCTCAGCACACACCTGTGTGCACACTGACAGACACACACACTACCAGGTGGGGCCAGGGAGTGGGGGCATCTCACCCACTCATGTGGTCGTGGCCCAGGACTTGGGTGGGGATTGTGTCCTTAAAACTCTGAGACCTCTGCTTTCCCCCCGAGCCCCCCAGGCTGTGGTTTGTGTGAACCACATGGGTGGATGAAGGGACTGCCTGTTACCACCCACTTCCAAGGCAGCAGGAAAAGAGCATGGTGGGTGGGCAGCAGCCATGAGTGCCTGGAGGCCATGCCAGGCATGCTCTCCCCATGGCCCCAGGCCTGGGACAGGTCCAAGTGCTGGGAGCTGGCTGCCTGGGAAAGACAGGAGCCTAGTGGGGGCCTCCTTGGAGGGCCTGCTCTCCTCCTGCCCCTGCACTGACGCTAAGAACCTTCTTCAGCCCCAACTCAGCGACCCCATGTCTTAGGCTCCAACCAAATTGGACCTGTTCCCCTACCTGGATACTGGGCCCCTCAGGGCCCACACAGCAGGAGCCCCAGGATGGGATTGCTCCATCCAACACAGGTTTGCTCCCCTCATCAGTGTCCCCCAAGTTCAAGAGGACACACCCAGGTGCTCAGGCCAGGACCCTCCGGTTGCCTGGACCTCCATCGACCCCTTCATGTCCCAGCCTATTCCTTCAGCCTCAACCACAAAGCCCCCCCACCCCCACCCCTCGCACTGGGGTCTCCCTTGATCAGGACTTAGGAGTGAGCTGAGGCTGAGCACTGAGCCAGGAGCCTGGCTCTCCCGCTGCACACGGGCACATTCAGGGACCACCCTCCCGCTGGCCTTGCCCTAGCTCTTACACTTCCTGGCATGTGCCCTGGGGCAAGTCCCGACCTGGTGCCTCAGTTTGCTCACCTAGAAAATGGACACTAGTTCCTGCTGCACAGACTCAATGTGTTAACACAGTGAGCGCTGGGCAGGGTCGGTCATGCCCTGATGGTCACACCCATGGCTGCCCCCTGAAGGCCTTCCTGCACCTCCTGCCTCGGCTCTGCCAGGACCTGAGGCAGGGCCTGCTTTGAGGCCTCCGGTGCGGCCGTCTCTGGAGAAGCATCCACCTTAGCCAGTGGCACTGCCTGCCGGATCCCCCCTTGGCCACAGGCTGGACTTGGGAGGGGACACAGACCCCAGGGCCATGCAGTCTCGAGGGGGGAAGCAGGGATTGGTGCCCCACTCGGCCAAGAAACGCAGGGTCCCCAGGGTATGAGACAGTGGGTCTCTGGCCAGCCTGTCCAGTCCCACAAAGGGGGCCACAGCCACCCCTCCCAGGGCCGCAGGAAATGGCCTGGCCCCGCTTGCAGCCAGGGCCAGCGACTCTGGCTTCCCTTCAGGCCCGTTTCCTTTATCCGGCTGTTTTGCTGTGAATTCACAAAGCCCAGCCTTCCCCTCCCCTCCATCACCACCCCTCCCCCGCTCCAGAGGGAAGCCCACGGACACTCAACATGTTGCAGCGCCTGCAGGAGTCCCCTCCACCCCAGCCTAAAGCCGCCGACGGAGCCAGAGTCCAGCGTTGGAAGCTGCCCCCTGCTGCCCGAGGTCGGGAGGGCAGCGCGTGCCCAGGTGTAAAGGAAGTGTACCCCAGGTTCCCCAACAGTCGGTGCCCCCAGCGCCCACTCCCAACCAAGAAGCAGGGCTCCCCCCCACCCACCCCCAAAAGCTAGCAGGCGAAGGGAACAAGAACCGGACTGGCAACACCAGCTGTTTATTGAGGCCTCTCTCGGTGTGTGCAGGGCATCCCGGTACCGAACAGGGCTCACAGCTCCAGGTCCCGGGCCCTCGGGTGAACAGGGGTCAGGATGAGACCTGGGTGGGACTCAATGGCCAGCCAGGTCAACACGGAGCCCTCGGTGGTCACCAAACGAGACTCATCCCAAGGCCCCTTGCAGGGCGAGCTAGGGGCCCCGGCTGCCCAAGGCTCGCAGGGCGAAGAGCTTCTCCCAGCAGGTGGCGACGTCG